TCTGCATTATCTTGAGAGTCTCCCGAACGGCTCTTTTTTACTTTTTTTCTTTTCTTTTAAATACGTGTCTCTTATATTTTTCCATTTCCGTTTTACGTCTTCTCCTGTGAATCAATTTTTATTTGTAACTAAATTTGTGAAAATGTATTTTTTTAGGTATTTAGCAACAGGACTAGCATTCAGGCAAATCGCAATGTCATTTAGAATATCTAAGTCCGCAGTCTCAAGCATTGTTATTGAAGTGTGTAAAGTAATATGGAATACGTTAAAATTCAAACACATGTCTACTCCAAGCGTCGATACTTTTAAAAGCACAGCAATAGAATTTCATGAAAAATGGAATTTTCCAAACTGTGTGGGAAGTATCGACGGCAAACACATCAGACTGCGATGCCCTCAAAATTCCGGGAGTATGTATTTTAATTATAAACAATATCACTCGATTGTTCTAATGGCAGTAGCTGACGCGAGTTATAGATTTTTGATGATAGACGTGGGTGGATACGGGAAAGATAGCGATGGTGGTGTTATGGTAAATTCTAAATTTTACCAACGTATCGAAAACGGTTCGCTTAAACTACCGAATGAAATAAAATTACCAAATTCGAACGTCTTGGCTCCTTTTGTGTTTATAGGAGATGAAGCTTTTCCATTGAAAAATTACTTAATGAGGCCTTTTCCAAGAAAACAGTGTCAAGAAAACGAAAAACAGTATTACAACTATAGACATGCGCGAGCACGAATGACAATCGAGTGTGCATTCGGCATAGCTTCATCAAAGTTTCGAATTCTATTAAAATCAATAGAAACAAAAGTAGAAAACGCGGATCATATTGTAAAGGCTATTTGTATTTTACACAATACAATAATAGATTTGGAAAAAAAATCATCAACACAACATTACGCCCTAGACGATTACGAAACAGACATATCGAAGGGCCATAATCAAATGATATCGCTGAATTACAAAGGCAGAGCCAACAATCGAGCGTCAAGTACCGCAATTAATATAAGAAATAGATTTGTGAAGTATTTTAAAGATAATAAAATTTAAAAATAATTTTCTACAAACATTAATATCGCAATCCTCACGGGACATCCTGTATTTTATAATCATTTCCAAGTATGTTAATACATATTTTGTCACTATACTATTCCAATAATTATAATTTTTTTAAATAATAAAATAAAATTGATACTTATTATAACAAATGTTGTGAAAAAAAATTTTTTTCGGGATCTGCATGCCAAATTAATTACGAAATTTATTTCATATCTGTATGTTTAAATGTTTTTATACTATTCAAACTATTTTGAACTATTAATATAATATAATAATTATTTAACAGACTTACTATTCATATGTACTGTTCTGGCAACAGCTTCCCATTCTTTCTCAGACACCAATCTGTCCCTATACTTTTTATTAAACTTATTCCAGAGAACATTTCTTTTTTGTACCTCGGATATAAGGAGCTCCATATTGACCATGGTTAAAAAGTTAAAACAAAGTTAAAACATCCGCTTTGATATACGTCTAGTCGCTTCAACGCGCGACCAAAAACAAAACGATTTGATTTTCAAACCTTGCGGCGAACACGAACGAATGAATTCGTTCGCGTCGCCCGTGTTTATCGCGTACGATGGACAATCTAATCTATTTTTATATATTTGATAATTTTTTTCGCCGCGTCGCTCGCACCGCAACGCGTTTACCGCGTTCACGTAGGACATAGCGTTATCTCAGTAAATAAACAACACACGACAACGAAAAATGGTTTGAAACGTTCCAAATGTTCTCTAGAAAATTAAAACGTTTCGCTCCACGAAGTTTGTTTATAAATGTTATCAATATTATAAAGATAACCTTCTTTAAAACTTTTAAGTATTCGACTCATGGAAATCGGCAGTTTTGATAAGAATCAAATATTTTGCCTATACTAATAACATAGGGAAATAGGCATAGGCGCAACTAGAAGCCAAACACTGGGGGTGCTAAAATTATGTAGAGGACACAGACCCGTGGGGGCTATGCCCCCACACCCCCAAATACCATATTTTAATCTTATAATTATTATAACCATTCTTAAATGAACCATAAAAACATGGCACACAATATTTAAGTATACTAACAGTAATATACCTGATATTACATATATCATATTATTTAGGCGATACAAATAAAAAAATCTATTTTATAATTTGTTAAAATTATTATGTATTAATAATATAAT